TTTTTTTTTTTTTTTTTTTTTTTTTTTTTTTTTTTTTTTTTTTTTTTTTTTTTTTTTTTTTTTTGCCTTCAATTCGTCGGTGGCTTGTGAAGAGGATGGATGGGTTTTTGGTCTGCTGCGTTGTCCGTCGTGAATGTTGGGATTAGTTTTTATGTGAAGTTATTATTTTTCGAACCTGTTTTTTACTATAAACATGTTGCTTTTTATTTATTATTATATATTCAGATCTTTTATCATTAACTTTTAAGGAATATTAAAATGTCCAAATTTACCCAAAGCTTAATTCTGAAATTGTGGTATTTCTTTTAAATAATTAATCAAGTAAATATATTTTGACATTTTGGTAATTAACGTAAACCTGAGGGCCTTCAGTGTAAATTCCATTTTCCTACTGAAACGACGAATGGGGCCATTACTTGGAGAGTGGTGTAAATGCCACGTGGCCGTCATGCAGATCAATCACCGCATCAGCCGATTAGTAGTATTCTCCGGTTAACTGTTTCTAAACTCAAATGCGACAAAAGTTGTTTTCTTTATATGATTAAAGTTAAACGAGAAGCTCACTCCCTGATTTTAGTTTTTAAATAGTTTGATAAAAAAAAAAAAAAAAAAATTAAAAAGTTAACCCAAATAATTATTTATACTATATTTTTAATTTTATCCATAAATACTTTTATTTTTCGTTTTTGTATAGGGAGGGGGGGAAATGGATTCATTGAACTGAATAGACATTTTTAAATCAATCCAAAATATTCCATCCTTAGTTAAGGAATTTTTTGTACACTCTTTCCATTTTCAGTAGCAATTGGATGTTTCCACTGAGATCTATCAACCTTATCGGAAACAATTTCTCTGCGGTTTATTACGCTTGAGTAGTGAAAATATGATTAACCAAACAACCCTCTCTGGCGGTGGCGGTGGTGGTGGTGGCTGCCCCGACGGCGCTGCAACTGCAAGCGGTGACATCATGGATCAAAGGACTGTTAAGGAAGAGGAGATGGAAGTAAGCACGGAGACGATGGAGGGCGGTGGAGGCGAATCTGGCGGAGGCGATGGGGGTTGGGCGTCATCGGCGACGGCGAAACCAATGGAAGGGTTGCATGAGGTGGGGCCGGCGCCGTTCCTGAAGAAGACGTATGAGATGGTGGAGGATCCGGAAACCGACCCGGTTGTATCTTGGAGCGAAGGCCGTAATAGCTTCATTGTTTGGGATTCTCATAAACTCTCCATCACTCTTCTCCCCAAATACTTCAAGCACTCCAATTTCTCCAGCTTCATCCGCCAGCTCAACACTTATGTCAGTATAAACCAATTTAATTTATTTCCTATTTTCCTTACTTTTTCTTTTTTATTTTTAATATCTCAATCCTAAAATATATATCTATATATCTTTTTTTTTTTATTCAGAAATATTATTTTATAAATTACTCTCTCTCTCTGAACCAATTCCAAACAACTACTACTTGGTATGCTTATAGTGACAAAAGTGAAGACTGGATTTCAATTTTATTGTCTTCTGTTCATTTAGGTCTCGGTTGATAACCATTTTGTTACGTTCATATCATATAATCAACCATTTTGTTACGTTCATATCATATATACATACGGTGTTGAGTTGAATTTTGAAAATATTTTAAGAACGTGGATAACCCATGAAAGAAATTCATGGGTTCCCGGGCAAGTAGGTGGAAGTAGTAATTTATAAGCTTAATTCATGGTTAACCCATGAAAGAAATTTCATGGATTTACGAGCAAGGCAGGTGGGAGATGGGAGAGTAGCATTTATAAGCTTAATTTGGGTATTGTTGCAGGGTTTTAGAAAGATTGATAGTGATAAATGGGAGTTTGCAAACGAAGGGTTTCAAGGAGGGAAGAAGCATTTACTAAAGAACATAAAAAGAAGAAGCAGGTACAATAATTACAAGAAGCAGCAACAACATTTGGGCTTACAAGATTTGTCAAACCACTCACTTGTTGAAGCAGAACTACAAGCTTTGAAGTCCGACAACAACATTTTGAGAGTAGAGATGTTGAAACTGAGAGACCAGCAGCAGGACTCACACAACCACCTCACCATGGTTGAAGACCGAGTCCGATGCGTCGAGTCCAAGTACCAACAGATGCTCTCTTTCGTCTCTAAAATGTCGAGAGATCCCGGGTTCTGTCGACAGTTGGTGCAGAGGAGAATGCTGAGGAAGAAGCTGATCAACAATGGGGATGAGTTTGGAAACAACAGAAGCTTACTTGCAATGCAAGCCCATCAAAATCTCACCCACTCTGAACTCATCACTACTGAAATGATTCCACAAGCTATCGAACCCGGACCGGTCGTGCTCGAGCCGCCGGTCCGACCCTCCACAATGGTGGTTGATGAAGACAGTGACTCCAAATTCTTTCTGGAATTGGAGGATCTCATCCAGAAGCCTCCTCCTCCTCCTCCTCCTCCTCAGGATTGCCCCTCAGGTTACGGACAGCAACAAGCTTTCCATGGATTTGTTGGATCCATTCCATGAGTTCCCCATTGTATATAAAATTTGCTAGTAAGTCCTGTACTCTTCAAAATTTGCAATATTGCCCTTACTCTTTCCTAAACTTTTCAAACCTGTGTGAAATACCAGGGATAATATTGCAATTTTTGAAAATATATGTTATTTTTCAAGAGTGGCATATTTGTAATATACTTGAGTGTGGTTATAAGTAGTTTAATTAATATTCAAATTAGGGTTGAATTTGGAAATAACCATAAACATGGAAATAATTATTTAGCAATCAAATAAAATAAAATAACAATAATTTTTTTTTTCTTCTATTCACATTCTATCTAGGTTTTTAAAAATATTTTGAAAACAAAAATTATAATTAAAAAAAGTAAGGGCGATCAATCATTTTTATATTATATTACATTATATTACTTTAGCACGTGCTAATGACAGATAAGGTTCACTATATAGTAGGTTGGTAGGTCGTACTGAGTTCGAACTATTAAGTGTTCGGACTGTAGAGTGGTTAGCTCATCTTAACACCAATTTAGACAAATGCTTTGTGAGTGTACAAGTTTGGTACTTCGCTGGAGCAAGATTTTATTGACAGGTTAGTCATTTTAGCTCGTCTTAAATCTCACGTCTGTTGATCGATAATACAGACCGATAATACTAACATTTTTTCTACGATAATCCTTCCACCAACTTTTGGACTAAAAATCAATTGAGCAATAACTAAAGGGAGAATTTAAAAAAAAAAAAAAAAAAATCAACAGATAATGACTTTTTTTTTCCTTTTTTGTTCTTTTTATTTTCTTTAATATATATATATATATATAAAGTGTAAAATTTCATTATATTTTTGGAATTTATTTTTGGGTTCCAAGTAAAACATAGGTTTTAGTTTTAACCCAACCCTAGCCTGTGGAGTGACCAAAGGAATTACACACAAAATTGCTGCCCTAGATCTCTAATTGCGTTTTTCTTGCTTTCATATCTTTATCGGAACCTCCGATTTCGTTTCTCCGCGTGGAGATGGCGGAGAATTTTGAATTCTTCATAGTCGACTCGGTCGATTCTCTCTCCACTTCTGTGCGTTCGCTCACTCGATGTTGAAGTCTTCGTAATCCTCCGTAATATCTATAGTTCTTTTTCTTTCTTTTGGTTGGCGGATGGAGCCTCGCGTTGGGAATAAGTTTCGCCTTGGCCGGAAGATCGGTAGCGGCTCGTTCGGGGAGATCTATCTTGGTTTGTGTTTCACGTTTAGTTCTTTGGCCTGCGAGGTTGTGATTATGGTGCTGTATTACAAGTAGAGTTAATGGTTCAATTCCATCTGCAGGTACTAATATACAGACGAATGAAGAGGTTGCAATTAAACTTGTAAGTGTTCCTATCTTAATTCAACACTGCGATTGTAACTTGGCAGTCTCTCTCTCTCTCTCTTCCTACGCTTAGATGAGCTTGCTTTCCTTCCTTTTCCACTCTGGAGTTGACGTTTGTAGTTCTGAAGTCTATATGTGCCTGTATTTACCATAAACTGTTCGCTTATTACCGAGCTAGGATTTGAACTATACCGATGGTGCTCCGGACTTTGATTTTGTATCAGATACGCCAATTGGAGATGTTTTGAACGAGAAGAACGTTAATGTTTAAACTGATGTTGCTGTCTTCTTAGAACAGCAACGTTTGCGTGGCACTTGGCTAAAACAAAGCAAGTAGCGGAAGATTTCTGGTTAAGTTGAGTGGAACGTCGATCCTCTCTGGTTACACTACTCCGAGGGATAGTGAATGCGAAGAATGTTAATATTTGAACGGAGGTTGCTATCTTCTTAGAAAAGCAGTGATATATGTGTACTTGGCTATAATAAAGCAAATAGAGAAAAAAAAATTCGTGTTTAGTTGAGTAACATGCACACTTATCTCTTATGCATTGCATGCATAATAATTTGTGTACTGTGTTGTAAATGATTCTTTGAGCTGAATGCCGTCGTCTTCGTTTCTTTTTTCTGAGCCGGTTCACGTTCTTAGTTAAAACACAATTTGCTTCACGTTTCTTATGTTCAGGAAAATGTCAAGACGAAGCATCCTCAGTTGCTTTACGAGTCTAAGTTATACAGAATTCTTCAAGGAGGAAGTACTGAAATATTCTTCTACTCTTCATTTTATTTTGTTTTTATTATTACTAATTTTTACTTTTTTGTGTAATCTTAACGAATTTTACTTTTCCTTTTCGAAATTTGTTGAACACAGCTGGGATACCTAATGTAAGATGGTTTGGAGTTGAGGGAGACTACAATGTTCTTGTAATGGACTTGCTCGGTCCTAGTCTTGAAGATCTATTTAACTTCTGTAGCAGAAAGCTTTCTTTGAAGACAGTCCTTATGCTTGCAGATCAAATGGTAGATTTAATTAAGTCAATTGACATCTGATGTTAATTTTCTCCAGGTCCGCCTTCCATTACAATTTAAATAATAAACATGATTTGGTTGTTTGCTCAGATCAACCGTGTTGAATTTGTCCATTCTAAATCCTTTCTACATCGGGATATTAAGCCGGACAATTTTCTGATGGGGCTAGGAAGGCGTGCAAATCAGGTACTTGTTTTAGATTTACTCGAATATAATAATCAACCTTTTCAAATCTTGATCAATGTTAGTTTTGCTAAGAAGTACAAGACATAGTGCATAATGTAGATTATAACATGCAGGTTTACATCATTGACTTTGGTCTTGCTAAGAAGTACAGAGATAGTTCTACTCACCAACACATTCCTTACAGGTATTAAGAGTTTGTAGATGTTGCCCTTACATTCTCTTCACGATTTCTTTTCTTTTGCTTTTATTGCAAGACTTTTCGTAATTGTTCCTGGTGGTTGTAGAGAAAACAAGAATTTGACTGGAACTGCAAGATATGCTAGCATGAACACCCACCTTGGGATAGGTACTTCTATTACCCTTCAATTAATAATATTTATTCTCTGATCTTGCTGTTGTTTCATAATTTGAGGCCATCCCTTGAGATTCTTGCAACATCTGATAGTCAAGTTTCATGTTGGATTCTTATTGGCACATATTAATAATTGTATGTGAGATCGACTGGATTGTGGAGTTGTGACCCCTAGATGGGTGGACACTCCATGAAACAGAGATTGTGTAATGTATCATCTTAAGAATTAGGACACAAACACAGCATGGACACATTTGATGAAATATATATTTGTAATGGGAAGCACAAACTTGTTGACATATTTTATGTTCAATTTGTGTTTACTACACATTTCAGAGCTTCGAAATACAGTGTGATCGCATGAGGTGGAGATTTTGATATGCACTTTTTTTTTTT